AAAATAAGGTAAAGTGGACATTCGTGCGCGCAAGACGAAATCCTTCCAAAACCTTAGGTTTCGTAGCGATTTTAACATAAAAACATCAAAAACCCAATGGTTTTTTAAGAAAAAATTGTCAAAATGTCCTTCCGCGCGCGCTGTCCGAATCCCACAAAACCAATGGTTTTTCAACATTTATGTTACATGAGCTCGCGCGAGCTACTTTTTCTTGTTCTAACATAATCAAATTTCAATAATCCCTTGCAAAAAAATAAGGTAAAGTGGACATTCGCGCGCGCAAGACGAAATCCTTCCAGAACCTTAGGTTTCGTAACGATTTCAACATAAAAACATAAAAAACCCAATGGTTTTTCAAAAAAAAATGTCCAAATTTCATCCCGCGCGCGCTGTCCGACTCCCACAAAACCAATGGTTTTTCAACATTTATGTTACATGAGCTCGCGCGAGCTACGTTTTCTTGTTCTAACATAATCAAATTTCAATACTCCCTTGCAAAAAAAAGTAAAGTGGACATTCGCGCGCGCAAGACCAACAAAAAACACGACGATCTCAGGAACTTGCCCCAAAAATGTGACCAACTCCGCTCTCTCTGTCTCTCTCTCTGTCTGCTCTCTGTCTCTCTCGCTGTCTGTCTGTGTCATGTATTGTATGTCACAATTGCAGGATGCTGGGCACACGCGCGCCCCGAATAAGTGACCAAGTTCTGTGGGTGTGTACCCCACGACAGTGTAGTAGCCACGGTCGTCCGCACGCCACGAAGTGAAGTGTCCCAACGTCATAGGGCGGGAAGCTGGGTTTGGGTGGTCGCGAAGAGTCGTTTGGATATTTGGTAGAGCTTGAACTGCCCCCCCACGAAGTGGGGGTATTGTCTCGCGTCGCATGAAAACCCTGGCACTGGTGAGAACACTGAGCGTTCGGGTAAAATGATTGTTGTTGTTGTTGTTGTTGTTGTTGTTGTTGTTCTTGAAGTCTCATTTCGGAACAATAAGTATTGTTGATCCCCCCACCGGTGTATACTGTTGCTTCTCAATCAAAGTGTGCCCTTCGACGCTCGCACCTTGTTTTTTGACAGGGGAAGTCTTCCTGCTCAAACTGGGCCCCTGGCCCCCGGGTTACAACAACAACGGCTCCCGCCTGAGATTTCCTTACAATTTAGCCAGGACCCCCGCACCCGCCCGAGACTTCCTCGCATTTTATTCGGGGAATTGCGCTCTCGCTTGGGACTTCCTTACAATTTATTCAGGAATCGCTCTCCGGGCGCTCTGGAGTCGCGCTCTCGCTGGAGATTTGCTTGCAACTTACTGAAGAATGGCCTTGCGTTGGAATTTCTTGCAATTTGCCCAAGCGCCGCGCTCCCGACATCCAGGCACCCAGGAGTCGCGCCCGTTGTGGCCCCATGTGCATGCCCTTCGTGGTCCCGCTGTCGCCATTTGTGTCCCCCTCACTGTCCTACGTGGCCCACTTGCTACCCTCAGTGGCCCCATAGTTGCCTTCTGTGGCCCCGCATTATCTGCACTTCGTGCCCCCCGCTCGTTCGCGCTCTTCGTGGCCCCATACGCATTCCCTTCGTGTCCCCGCTGTCGCCCTTCTTGGCCTACTTCGTGCCCTTCGTGGCCCTGCTGTCCGTCTCTCTCGCTCTCGCTTTCGCATCGTCGCCCCCTCCCCCCCCGTTTCGTCGTCGGTCGCCGCGTCGTCGTCGCCGTCGTCTTCGATCGTCGTCGTCGTTCTGGTTTCGTCGTCGTGGTCGGTCCTCTGTCCGTCCCTCTTGGGGTCGGGTCGACGGTCCGCGGCCGCCCCGCCGATCAGCGCTGCCGCTGCCAGGCCGACGGTCCGCGGCCGCCCCGCCGCTTGCCGGGGCCCGGCCTGCAGGGAAGAAAGGTATACCCCCCAAAAGGGGTTCGATCGAAGACGAAGAGGGCGGGTATCGAGGGTTTGGGAAATACGCTTTATTGTTCACTCGAGCATATAAGGGCGACCAGTCTTAAATTTACTGTTGTTGTTGTTGCTGCTGTTGTTGTTGTTGACGAAACCACTAGCTGGCGGACCGGCCCCCCCCCCCCCCCCCCCCCCCCCCCCCCCCCCCCCCCCCGCGCAACGCAGCGCAACGCAACGCAACGCTCTCCCCGCGCGCCCCCCCGCGGGGCGTACAGGGACCCGTACAGGGTTCTATAGGGCTCCCACAGGACCCCTACAGGGTTCCATAGGATTCCTATAGGACCCCTACACGGTTCCATAGGATTCCTATAGGACCCGTACAGGGTTCCATTGGACTTTTGTAGGAGCCGCACAGGGTTGGATCGGACCCCCATAGGACCCCTACAGGGTTCCATCGGATTCCCATAGGACCCGTGTAGGGTTCCATTGGTCTCCTATAGGACCCCTACAGGGTTCCATGGGACTCCCATAGGACCCCTACAGGGTTTCATAGGACTCCCATACGACCCAGACAGGGTTCCTGAAGATTCCCATGGAACCCCGACAGGGTTCCATAGGACTC